AGCAATTGGTATGAATTTTTATTATTTGTTGGTATTCAAAGTACAAAACTGAACAAGAAGTTATTATAAAATACTGTTAAATGAGTTGGGGTTTAGTTTGGTTTTGAATCAAAATTCCTCTGCTGACCTCACTCACAAAATTTAAAATAAAGTGCTAGGACAATTTGTCATTGATAAATTTATCACCAGTCAATTTTCCCTGAGATCAATTAGACATTACAATAGTTCATCTCCTATAATTAGTTTACTCTTCTTGGTTTTAGTAATACTCACTGGATAATTTTCAGATAGTTATTTTTGACCAAATGTTCTTATGCCAATTTAAGATAGGTGAATTGAGTCCTAATGTATTATATTTAATCAGTTGCTTGCCATCAATACAACCACCTGCATGCTTAACATTATATCATTATAGTAAAATAAAATTATATTTATATTTACTAATGGATCTAAAATATATTGAAGGCATGAAACCATACATGCCAGAATGGACTTTACATAAGTGAAACTTATAAAGAGTTAATTTCTTAAAGATAGTTGCATATAATCTTAAATTTTAGCATTCCAATATCTAATGTATTAAACTTTAGTTTTCATTTTCTTCATGATCATGATGATGATGATGATCATCATCATAATCATCAGTTCTCTACCTGGATGGTGTTGGGGGTGGGGGGTGGTCATAGGATTTCTTTACATATCTGGGTTGAAAGCTGGAAAGATATTAATTCATGCATAACAGGCCTTGGGCAAGTAGATGGGGGTGTGGCCCCTCACTCTCCAGGTCAAACCACAGCCAATGTCCTCCAACTTAAAGGCTTGCCTTGGTCATGAGCATTTGGCTGTTGATTCTACCAAGACACTCCTCCCTGGCCACTGACTTCAGTTTAGGAAGCCCTCCACCCAGGGATTTTGTATCACCACCACACCAGCTGTATACATGGCTGTAGATCCTAGTCCTCCACCCATTTTGTTAGATAGCTGTTGAACCAAAAGAAGGTTCATCCACACTTTGACAGGTCTTGGTTTTTAATTCTACTGGGTGTCTAGCCATTCTTCTTAACAGAAAAGCCCGGTGGAGGATCCAGTTGTCAATGATTTGACTGTGCAGCAGGTAGTACTGGGTTACATGATACCAAAAGTAGTCATAGAGTAACCTGACATGAAATTTGGAAATTTGATGAAGTTGAATAAAATTGAAGTTTTTTTTTGTTCTTTTGACAAATTGACCTCAGAAGCAAACTGATCCCATAACAGATTGACTACACAACAAATTGAGTAGATACCCAAAATAATTTACTTAAAGACTTTCAAGTTCATATCTAAACTACAAATTAAATGTGTCTTTATTAAATACAGTGCTTCTAGATTCTCTGAGAAATTTTATGAATAAAGCAGTTCCAAATAAGGAACAATATTCAATGGGTTCTGCTTCTGACATGAGAAATATTGAATTTCATCTATATTGATTCATATGTAAGAAATTAAATTGATATTATAATAAATATGTAATGACATTTAAATAAAACTAAAACCAATCCAAAAAACAATGAACATTTGAATAAAATGGCAGCAAATAGAGAATATATCTTTTCCAGCTTCAGTCAGTCAGACATTTGTAAAGTCAGACTAAATCAGTACTAAATAACAAGAATGAAGTAGTTGACAAATCTAATGATTCCAAGGCCAGAATCCATAGAAAGCACCTGAGTTAGTCTTTGATTCAATCTGTTTTGGTTTCAAACACTTTCTGATTTATGTCACTGAAGAAAAAAGTGTCATTCTGCAAATGGGTATCAAAAAAAAAAAAGGCCTTCTCACCACTCTGCACTCAATTTCTGTTCTTCTAGACTTACATGCTCTTTCAATATCAATTCCATTATTTTATTGGCCGCGAAGAATTAATGCAGATCTTTTAGATTGATTTGCTTATCGAATTGTATCGCACAACATCAACAGGAGTGTTTTTGTTATTGTTTGCTTGTCGAATTTTTATCACTTCTACTAATCCAAGCACCCCCCATCCTCACCACATCAGCAAAAAATTATCCCCAAAGGTGTCATCTGTCCTTATCATGTGATTTTGGACATAGAAAAAAAAAAATCAAAGAACAGCAGGGAAAAAAATGGAGAAGAACTTAAAACAATGAAAAGAGAATTCAACAAACAACCATTAAAAAAAAAAAGAAGAGGTGCACAAATTTCATTACAATTACAAGTGTTGCCTGAAGAAAAACCTAGTGAATAGTTGAAACATAATGAGGAAAAAATCCCCAAATTTACATTTGGCAATAACATAAAAAGAAATAGATATTTTTAAAACAGCTGCTTGTATTTAGGCAATTTTTTCCTTGCTGTTCATCACAATAAAAGTGAAATCTACATAATCTGATGCAGAATTCCTTTAGCAATATGAATGAAGGTAAAAAGTGAGGAAAATGGGGAATAAATGTTACAAGAAATTCCTATTATTGTTTGAAGGTGATTTGCTTAAAGGGGAAAAAAAATTTTGCAAAGGATTCTGGGAAAGGTCAGAGTTCTGAACAAATATTTTGCTGGGAACAAATTCAGTAAAGGATTGACCAATGACCAACAATAACAAAGGTAAAAGAAAAAAATCAGCAGTTACAGCAAAAAGCATCTACACTTGTTTGTGTGTGTATTTGCATGTGAATGTATGTACATATGTGTGCAAGTGTGTCTATATATGTGAATATATATCTCAATATATGTGTTGTGCATATAAGCACATATCTGTATATATGTTTATATATTTTACATTCAGCTATGCATGTGAATATACAGTAGCATGCAAAAATATTGGATAGAATTTTTTTTAAGAAAAAACTATGAGCTATGAAGGAATATCAAAAACTTTTAAGATCTTCTTCTATATACAATGTCTTATCATTGATGGAATGAGACTATGGATTTTGAGTTTAATTCTCATAATTAAATTTATAAATTTAATTTCAGTTTTGAAACATGGAAATTTTTTGTTTCACAATGGAATCATATTTTTAAAAAGAAAATGATTATAATACATATATATATATATATATATATATATATATATATATATATATATATATATATATATGACATTATATAAAATTGTATTATGCAAGTCAATGTTTACACAGTAAAATTTATTTTAACCACTTGTTTTTTTGCTAATTTTTCAGAATATATATATATATATATATATATATATATATACTATAGACAGTATAACATATGAATTCAAAACTATATGTCTGTCCTTATTAAAAGCATTGATAATGATTTGTTTTGGGGATGTTGGGTATTATTATGCAAAGCAACTAAGTGTTCTCTAATTTTGGATTTATAAATAAAATCCAAAAGATATACGCTATAGTAATATGTGATTAACACAGTATCATATATGCTGAAATAATTTTTTCTCTTCTTATTTTCCCCATTAATATGAGCCTCAATGCATTCTATAACTTTTATCAATCTCTCATTCATTGATTTTGTCAACTTTTCTACTACATTTGATGTCAAGAGATGCACATGTCAGTATAATGTAAACGTGACTACAATATGTTTGAATACAAACATATTGAATTTTTGTTGTCAATATTCATGAAAAATGTTATTAAATTATATATTAACAGATATGCTTTAGTGCACACACATTCACACCTGTACAAAGAGTCATGTACATATGCATACATGCACACAATTGAAGGAAGTAATCTGAAAAAATTGCCTAAGATAATGTTTGACAGAGAAAAATATGTGCTTATTAATATTTGTGAATAATTTTTTTTTTATTTCCATTCTTCAACTCGGAATTTGCTTTGAGGATGAAACTAAATAATTAAAAATATTAATATTAATTAAAAATATTAATATTAATTAAAAATATTAATTAAACATATTAACTGCATATTTATATTAATAACATTTATCAATATTCAAGTACATTACTTAATTTTGATGCTAAATTCTACATGACTTTAAGAACTATTCTGAGGATGATGGAAATAAACACTGAAATATTTAAGAAAAACAAATGCAACTATCTATTTCTAAAATTCTGTGTCTTCTGTTAGTCTGTCCATCCATCACACACTCAAAAATAGCTATACATTGACCAATCAAAACCAAATTTTGGGGAGAAGTGCAAACAGTTAAGCAGGCACAAAGAACAGTATTACATTTTTTATTATAACTATACATAAGCTACCTAAACTAGCTGAAATCAGTTCTTTTCAACTGCAAACAAAACTGTTTTGACTACATTTTAGGTGTTTTCGTAATTTTTCAAACACCAATTTTTTTTTACCAAGAATCCAGTTTCCAGTTCACTCTGCATTATATAAACAAATCACAAGGCCAAGTGCTTCAAAAAGTTTGGCTTTGGCTCCAGAAAGATATATTTATGATAGCCAGTTGTATGTTGCCTGCTCAAGAGTAAGAAATCCTAAGAATTTATTCTTTGTTGCTAAAAAGGATAAAAAGAAATTTTCTTAAAAAATATTGTTTACCATGTAGTTCTATAAAATTAAGTTAAATTAAAGAAATTATTAAACCACAAAGTAAGGTTTTTGCTAAAATATTTTTTAAAAATTCAGCTAATTCCAATTTAATCGATTGGTTTGAGAAATTGAATGAAATGTAAAGTTTGTAAATCTCAACAAAAACTTTTAGCGATAACTTCAACAATGCTAAATACTTTGAGGATTTCCACATGCATCAGTGTATTGCAAAAAAATTCTAGTATTATCAAAAAGCCAAAGTTGTATATTTATTCAGACAAAGAGTGCAATCTGCAGATTTTCTTCAATGCAGACAATAAGTTTTGACATTTTTATAGACGTTCACATTAATAAACGTTTAATTGAAGAAACTAAATAAGAAAATGCTCAATTTCTCCTTGAATTTCAGTCAATATGTTTTGAAAAAAGCTGAAAGCTTCTTTTAAAGCAGTTCCTTGAGAGGAAAGTGGTTCTAAAGCACAAAAATTTAACATATTTTGAATGGGAAACGTTGTTTGTGAAGGGAATGAGACAAAAAGAAGAGAAAAAGAGGCAGATAGAGTTGTAGAGGAAGAAAGAGTGTAAAAGAGGAGGAAGAGTGAGAAAGAGTAAGAAGAGTGAAAAAGAGAAAGAAGAGGGAAATAAAGTGAGAAAGGAAAAGAAAAGTGAAAAAGAGAAAAAAGATTCAGAAAAAGAGGAAAATGATCAAAAATGGAAGAGAAAAAATCTGGAAGGAATTTCATTTTTATCTTTTTTGTTTTTGTAATCTAATTGAAACAAATATGTGGGCATTAGTCATTTTTTTATCTTGGTATAAAATTGAAGATTTTCCAAGTAGAAATCTTGAAATGATGATGTAGAAGAAGAGGAAAAAAATAAGAAAAATAAGAAAAGGTGACAGAATGTGGAAGAAAGAAATTAGTTAGAAAAGAGAAATACTGAAGAGGAAAAAGTAGAATAAAAGAACATTTTATAAGAGAGGGCAAGATAACAAAAAAATGGTTAATGAAATAGCAAGGGAGAGGAGAGATAGGAGGAAGAAAAAATGGACAGGATTGACAGACATGAGTTAAAGAGAGAGAGAGAGACAGACAGACAGAGAGACAGACAGACAGAGAGAGAGAGATGGAGATGGAGAGAGAGAGAGAGATGGAGATGGAGAGAGAGAGAGATGGAGAGAGAGAGAGATGGAGAGAGAGAGAGAGAGAGATGGAGAGCGAGAGAAAGAGAGAAGAAATTAGAAAAAATGTGTTGGTGGGCGTTTTCTGCTCAGTTTCCTCATGGACACTGGTCAGATAGAAACGCCAAAAAGAAATTGCCAAAAATATGAAAAAAAGAAACTCAAAGATTTTGAGTTTTGAAGACTATCAGAAAAACGGCTAATGAAAATAAAAAAAAAACACACAAACAAAAAAGAGGAAGCAAAGGAGACAAGTATAAGGAGATGAATGAAGTGGAACGGGACAAAGAAAATGATGGAGATGGTTGTGTTGGAAGGATGGGGTAGACTGGAGCTCGGTGACAAATTGATGAGAGGAAAGAAAAACATGAACAAAATTTAACATTTCATATGTCATACAACAGAAACACATACATTTACAATGCATTCCTACATTATGTGTAAAGTGCAAATCAATAAATTGATAATAATTCTAAAATTAATGGTCCTGCAATCATCTAATTTTGGTCATAGCTATATGAAATATCATAAAATTCATGATCTTATTATAAGACTTAATTAATGCTGGAATACAAAAATATTCCAATTTAAATATAAGTATTTTCTAAGCTTGATAGAGTTCAAAATTATTTATATGGTTTTTTGGAGGAAACCATATTTTCCATTATGCAGCATCTTTCCCACAGATTCAACATTACAAGCCTATCACGATTCTATTGCTATTTCCATAACAAATGTTTAGTTGAAGTACATTCTTTTCTTGCACAAGTTTAGACCTTCAAAATTACATCTTGCTATGCTACATCATTGGAGTTGAATCATCCATATCTCCTCTATATTCTATTTGCAACAAAGAAGTTTCACACAGACAGCTTTTTTCCAAGAACTACCAATTTGTGGAACAGTCTCCTGCATGGCTACTGTCATCAAAGCCTACAGACTTAACCTCTTCAAGTCAAAGGGCAATCGTTATCTATCCTCCTTGGCTTCCTAATCTCCACTTCCTTCTACCTCCTCTTATATTCACATCACACATCTCTTTCGGCAATCCTCTTCCAAGAGTGGCTCTTGACTCTTATATTGGGTAAACTTTAATGTAATAATAATAATAATAATAATAAATGCCCTGATGTTATAACAAGCCTGGCTCTCATGGCCTCTGATCTTAATTGATTGGAGGTTTTAACATGTTTACATTTTGTCTTGGTTGGTTAAGAGGGACTACAGTAAATATCTCATTCAATGCCACCAATTTCCTTTCCAATTGCCTGACCATAACCAGTTTGTCATGTCCTCTTGGAATTAGTGCACTGTTCATCAACAGGAGTAGTAAGAGTAGGTAAGAGTAGGAGTAATAAGAGAGTATCATTGCCAGTACAATTATCATCTTCACTGTCTATCCCTCTTATCCTTATAACCTTCACTATATTCTACTTTCTCTTACATTCATATCACACACCTTATTCAGTAAACTTCTACCTTGAGTGGCTTTTGATTCCTGTATGGATTGAAATTTAGTATTAAAAAAACATCAAGTTGTAGTGATAGGAGGATAAAACATGAATGAAAACGACTAAGCATAATAATGATTTATTTAAAAAAAATGTCAGATGTATAGAAACAAGTTTAGTTGAATAACACAGTAGAAAGGCAATATTATTTTCTCATATAATTTCTCTCCTGATATTAGGCAGACTACTGTCCATCAAAGTCAAATTCAAAATTTCTTCAGGGCAGGCAAAACCACAAACAGCTGATATGGTTTCCTCAAGTTCATTCTTGGGTGAAAATTCCTTGTTGCCCACATAAAAACATCTTTTGACAATACTCCAGAAATATTCAATTAGTTTTAGTTGTAGTGAACATACAGGTCACTCTATAAATCAGTCATATTTTTTTTTACCCTAATTTAGCTTAGAATTCAACAGTTGTAAGAGAAACACTGTCATGTACTACTTTTGGTTATCAGCATTTTCATCTTCCATCATGTCTGAAGATTGACTTTTCAGAAGTTGCAGTAAAGCCCAACTTTAAGACATCACTCTAAAAGACTATAAGACATTTAGTTTCATAATTATCATCATTTAATTAATTTGCATATAATTCTGGAATGCACTGTAATGTTTACTTAATTAATTATTCCTTTGTTTGTTTTTAATAAGAAAAATTTGGCAGGATAAACTTTCAACCATTTATTTAAAGTCCTGGTTTTATAAAATAAAGATGATTGATTAATATGTTAATGTTATGCTTACAGCCTGGAAAAATATTAATCCTAAAAAATAAGCAATAAATTGCTTAACCAGTGAAGTGTAATGGTTAAATAAGTCAGTAATTTCAATTTGATTAAAAACTTCTTCTTGCAAGCCAGTTTTAATGCCTGAGATTTGAAATCTATTCAAATGAATTGGAATTACAATTAGTCAATGAGTCTTCAGTTCATTTGAGCAGCATCTACAGTTTCTTCTTAAAAATAACCAGCATTGGTGTGTTCACAAAATCACTAGCTAAAGAGAGCCACCTGTTTATCACCCTCAAGACAAAGAAGGTGGATCTTGCTAGTTGAAGTTATCTGGTTGTTAAGTGTGATATATTTTAACTTTTTGTCTTGTCAGGAAAGAATAAAAAGATTTTCACTTGTATTTACAAAAGAGATCAGCAGATGAAACATTACAAGCTTCTTGCTATTCTGTTGCTTCTCACATGACATGACAGACATTCCTTAGTTCCATTAGTTATAATCTTCACAGCTATGATCCACCATGCCATATTTCTGTATTGTACCATCCTTATTCCCTTTTCCACTCAAACAGCTTTTACCCCACAAACAGCTTCCTTGTAGAATCGACTCCCAAGAGAATGCTTCACTGACCACTATAAACTTCACCTCCTCAAGCCTAGCATTAACTGTTATCTTTTCCTCTTACTTTTACCATTCACACAAAAAATTTTTCACTAACTCTCTAGCTAGAGTGGCTCTCGGGCCTTGTACAACATGAACATTAATAAAAAAGAAACAAAAAAAAGAAACAGAAATGACAATTATTTCAATTCAACATCTGTCTACCTTTCTGAGATGAGGTATTGTAACTATTTACATTGTTCAGACTGTTGTCCTTATCTTTATTTTTCATATTCATGACATTTTGGCTAGCTGGATGGCCAGAACTTACAGATGATATACATTGGAATTTCAAACCAAACCCTTTATTTAGTACATTGGAGTAAATTGTTCTCATTCCATGTTCCATGCCTCTTTCTGGATATCTCTGTTTCAGTTATCTCCCTTTAGTAACTCAACTCTCCAAGATTTTGTTCACCTCTGCTGTAGCCAGGTATTGAACTCACAACACTTTGGGTCAAATCACTGGATAATGTCAGCCAACACTTTTATTCCCTGGCCCATGTATTTTAATTCAATTGGTCAACACAAAAACTAATCATAGTTTAAGACATTTAATTAAATTTTACTGTTCTACCATAAATACTTACCATCACTCATTTCTCTCCATAACTAAAGTGTTCCATCACTGAGTTTTTCATTACAGAACTTAATTTACAATGCTTAAAACTTTGTTATAAAAAACTAACCCACACATTTTATATATAACAATTGCATTAATTATTATCTATTATTTCAGAGGAAGACCATTTCAGCTCTTAGAAATTTCTTTGAATCATTTCTTGAAGACAAAAACTTGAAAATCTAGGTTTTGGGATTTGAACTGTTGTTCTCATATATTCTTTTTTATCATTGAAACTAAAACTCTATCACAGCAGGGCTAATCTGTTTTTAGCATGACTGTTATTATTCTTCCATCCTGTACTGACTTCAAGGGCTGGATCTAAACTGCATGCTCAGATGATGCCATTAAACCTTAAACAAAGCTGTCCAGTTTACATGAGATTCTTTCTGAATCTTATGAAGCTCAAACTAACGAAGCAAGAATAATTTCATTTGCTTCAGGAATTCCAGCTGACAATTGTATTTAGTCATGGCAAAAGCTTTTGGTCTGCTGGGCTGAGCAATGAAAGAAAGAAACTTATCAGATATACACGGAAGAATGCTGCAATTTATATTTTCCAATTGTATGATAAATATTTCATAAAAACGATTGAGTATTTCTTTCAGTATTGATTATAAACAGCCTAAGTGATTCCATGAACCATTTTACTTTTTTGCAGGAACTTCCTTCTGCGTAATTAGCAGAGAAATAAAGTATATAAAAGTGTTATCCAGAATGTATGTATGCATGTATATGCATGCATATATTCCCATATAATTTCTCTTAATTCAATATATATATATATATATATATATATATATATGTGTGTGTGTGTGTGTGTGTGTGTGTATATTGAATTAAGTGAAATTATTCATATATATATATATATATTGAATTAAGTGAAATTATTCATACATATATATATATATATATATATATATATATATATTGAATTATGAAAATTGAAATATATATATATATATATATATATATATATATATATATATATATATATATATATTTGAATTAAGAGAAATTATATGGAAACTTGTTAGCTAGTAAATTTCAATGAAAGTTTGCTAACTAGCAGTCTCCTATAAAATGTTTTATTTTCTATAATGTCATAATTATTGTTTGCCTGTTGACTTTACACTGTTTATATTGTTTGGACTGTTGTCTTCATATTTATTGTCATATTCACAACATTTCGGCCATTGTATGGCTTCTTACAGTGATATACCTTGGAATTTTGAACCAAACCCTTTTTTTTTGTCCACTGAGGTTAGATTGTTTTACAGCCACATGATATGCTTTTCCTGAATATCTCATTTTTCAGTTTAGTAATTCAACTCTCCAAATTTTTGTTTACCTCTGCTATGGCCAAGTGTTGAACTCACAACTCTTTGGGTCAAGTCACCGGATTACTTCAGCCAAAACTTTTATCCACTGGGTCATGTGTTCTTGAATTACTAAAGGGAAATAACTGAAACTGAGATATCCAGAAAAGGCATGGCATGTGGAACAAGAACCATCTACTCTGGTGGCCAAAATAAAAGGTTTGGTTGGAATTTTTAACATATATCACCTGAAGAAGACCAGTGTGTAGAATGGCCGAAACATCATGAATATGACTATAAAGAGGAAACAATGTAAATTGTTACAATACCTTATCTTAGAAATATAGATAAGTGATGTCAAATTTATACATATGCATATATTACAAAACAGCTGAACTTTCTATTACCAAGTGTTTTTTTCTCCTTAACAAAAATGTGAAAATTATATTTTAAAATCTTAGTATTAGAATATTATTTTATTTTGTCTATATTTTATTTTGTGTTTGGTACTAAGAACAGTGTTTTT